ATCAAATATGTCCGTGTGTCTTTATAAAGAAATCACATAATGGAGTTGTGATAATAGCTGTCTATGTTGATGACCTTAATATTATTGGGACAGCAAATGAAATACAAGAAGCAGTTACATTTTTGAAAGGCGAATTTGAAATGAAAGATCTCGGAAAAACCAAATATTGCCTTGGCTTACAGATAGAGAGAGTACAAAATGGGATATTTGTCCATCAATCTAACTATACTAAAAGAGTACTGAAACGTTTTAATATGGACAAAGCTAATCCCCTTAGTACTCCGATGGTTAACCGGACATTGGATATTGAAAAGGATCCATTTCGACCATGTGAAGAAAATGAAGAAGTACTTGGTCCTGAGGTACCATATATGAGTGCAATAGGGGCTCTTATGTATCTTGCTAATTGCACTAGACCAGATATATCTTTTGCTACCAACTTATTAGTAAGATATAACTCGTCACCTACGAGGAGACACTGGAATGGAATCAAGCATATATTCCGTTATCTCCAAGGAACAATCGATCTGGGATTATTTTACTCAAATGATAAAAAAACATGAAATGATAGGTTTTGCAGATGCAGGATATTTATCAGACCCACATAAGGCGAGATCTCAGACTAGCTATGTTTTCACGATTGGTGGAACTGCATTTTCTTGGCGCTCTCAGAAACAAACACTAGTAGCTACATCTTCAAACCATGCTGAAATCATTGCACTGCATGAAGCAACTAGAGAAAGCATCTGGCTCAGAAACATGACTCAACACATTCAACAGGCCAGTGGATTCTCGAATAATGAAGACCCGACGGTGATATTCGAAGACAATGCAGCATGTGTCGCTCAGACCAAAGAAGGATACATCAAGAGTGACAGAACTAAACATATCCCACCAAAGTTCTTCTCATACACTCAAGAGCTTGAAAGGAACAAACAAATCAAGGTTCAATACATCCGATCAAGTGATAACGCAGCAGATTTGTTTACAAAGGCGCTCCCAACTACAACATTCCGAAAGCATGTCCATAACATTGGAATGAGACATCTTCGAGATTTACACGGATGATAACTCGAGGGGGAGCATGTGCGGCTGTACTCTTTTTTTCTTATCTCGGTTTTTTCCCACAGGGTTTTTCCGGATAAGGTTTTTAATGAGGCAGC